GAATTTTCTTTTGTTTCCTTTTATTTTGCTACTGAGCCACTAAGATGCCTTTTCTTTCCTTAGCATTTATTTTATTAACCTCTTTGTTTTCTCTCAAACTCAGAAACCAGCAGAATGTTCATGGAATGTTCATGTAGTGACATCTGAGGCAGGGAGACACTTGTCATGTTAATTTCTCTCATCACAGCAGACTTTTACTGTCTCTTCTCTGGTACAAATGCTTTTATGGGCTGTATCTGCTGATTTTATAATTATCACTAACAACTGGTTTGGAGGCAGGGAGGAATAATTTTCCTAAAGTCATAATATCCTTTAGAACAGTTAACTTATCACAGGTGCACACTATGCATTTAACTAAAACAACAATTGAGATTCTAGATATTTTCTTTTAAAATGAATACAGCCATAACAACTGCTTTGGAAGAATATACTAATATTGTGGTTATAATTATAAAATACATAAAGAAATGCCTGAAGTCTAGAACTATATGCTCCGGGCCCCACGTGAACGACAGCTTTGTGTAATGATAACATTCTAAAAAAAAAAAATTAGTACCCCATTTTACCAGCCTCCATGGTCTTCTGTATGTAGTAGCAATCAGTGTTAATTATAAAACTGCATATAAGAAAGAAAACTATAGAAACTAAACCTAGAAGAAAAAAAGAACTTTCTTCAAAACTCCACAAATTTAAAAGAGAAAAAATGGAACTATAATATAAGCTCCATAGGGCAGAGATTTTTGTCAGTTCTGTGCTCTGCTATGTCCCAAGTGCCTAAAACAGGGCCAGCACATAGTAGGTGCTCAATAAATATATACATGGTGAATGACTTTTTAACAATAAAATTTGATCAGAAATTTAAGAAATTAGAAGTGCCCCTGACAGGCAATGGATGAAATAGAAACTAAAAAGCTAGATAAAATGTGACATTTTAAATTGACCCTGAAAGAAAATGAATAAACCTAATATTTCTTTTCAGTTTACGACTGGTTATTATTGGTTTAAAACATAGTCAACGACTCCAGGTAAGAAGCACCAAGTATTTGGCTATATTTTAATATACAAAACGTTAAAACAAAGCTATCAAATACCGTGTCAGTCTATAGACTCCAGCTGCCTCATCCCTGCTTACAATCCTTAGTGTCTATTACTATCTAGCGTTCTGTTAGTTGCAAGTAACAGAAAACAAACTACCTAACTGAAGCAGAAAAAGGGAGGTGGAGGTTTATTGGAGGGATTCTGGGGTGGCTGAGGGGCTTGAAGAACAACCAGTTTAGAGACCTAGAAGGAGCGTCTTAGCCACCAGGGCTCTCTCTTTCTGAATGTCTGCTTCACTCTTGAATTTTTTCCTTGAGGGTATAATCAAGGTTGCCAGCATCAGCAAACCCTTTCTGTCTTCCTTTCCCGAGAGGAAGTTTGTTTTCATAGATCCAATTAGAGAGATTCCAGGAAGGGGTGCCAATTGGTTCAGCTCGGGTGACATTCCTGTCTCATGGACCAATCTCTGCGGCCAGGGAGGCAGGGTGGCACATAGCAGGACTGGGCAGCTCCTTCAAAGCATGGTAGCAGCGTAGAGCTAGAGCAGCTCCCCCCGGCGAGTGGTGGACATTCTTGGTGAGAACAATGTCCTTCACAACGAAAATTCAGGCTCCCGTTGGGAGGCTCCATAGACAGACTGCCTTCTGGAGGTTGGCCTTACTAGGCTTTCCACTTCCAGTTTCTGGGTTCACAGAGGTCTATTGCTTTAGGATTCTTGTGGCCCAGAGACGAGTTAACTGAACTATTAAGATCTGCATTATTAAAATGAGATAACAACATGCCCTGGCCAGGTACCTCAGTTGGTTAGAGCATCATCCCATACACCAAAAGATTGTGGGTTCGATCCCTGTTCAGGGCTCATGCCTGGGTTGTGGGTTTGGTCTCTGGCTGGGGTGCATGTGGGGTGTGGAGGATCAATGTTTCTCTTTCACATCAATGTTTCTCTCTCTCTTCCCCTTCCTCTCTCTCTAAAATCAATGGGCACGTCCTTGGATGAATATTTAAAAATAAAAAAAAAGTTTTATCTGAATTAAAAAGGCAAACATGATATTAGTATCTTTAAGTGATCAAAATACTTTCATCACAACTTAGTAAGGTTAGATTAGCCTGATGCATTGACGAATAAAAGTCTCTTCCATTTTACCAACTGGAAACTGAAGCCAGATGTCTTACTTGAGGTTGCAGTTGGTGAGGAACTAGACTGGCTTGTAGACTAGCATGTTTCACGTTAAAGACCAATGTTTCAACAAATAAGTGCAGCTCACAGACCAGTGTTTGATATTTGGCTTTACTTTATAAAAATACACAACTTAAATACATATGGCACTCTCTATACAAGACATAAACAACTGTTAGATTTAACATCTTCAGTTATTTTAACAGAAAGCAAATATGTAAATCAGTTTCTTCAGAGACTCTGCATTCACAGTCAAAGGGACAAATGCCCCCTTGAGCAATAAATGCAGGGAAGTAACCCAAATTATCCAACTTTCCAATAGGTCAATTCACCAACAGGGCCTGTATTGCACAGCTTAATATTGCACTGCTTGTTAGACACAATCTAATGTATCACATCACAAGTTTAAACTTCTGTCTTATCTAGAGATGTTTAATGGAAAAACCAATGCACAAATAGCATTAACTATGTCTTACAATTGTGCCAAATAGCGATCACAAGAAGTGCGAACTTCCTTTCACGTTGCAAAACTTGCAATGGAAGGTGGTTAGGTATATTTTGCAGCTAAATTCATTTTCAAGTCTTACCAACTCAGCAGCAGACTGGGTGAGCTGGATGGAGTGCAGTGGAGAAGTGATAGTTCGGCACCTATTGCGGGTGCTGTCAGAAGGGCGCTGCCAAGTGTCAGACACAACGTGCACCCAGCCCCGCCCTCTCTGACTTGAACCTGCACCGCCTGCCCCCCTCCAGGCTGTGTTCTGCGGGGAGCAAGCAGCGCCCTCCTCGTGGGTGCTGCATCCCTCCTCGACTGCCTCTCGGAAATTCTGCTGCCTTATCGATGGCTCATTTAACGAACAGTGAATTAGGTTCTAGTTTATGGGTATAAAGAAATATTTACCAGTTGAGAATTCGATGCTGAGAACATACTAGAGTAAGTTTCCTGAGGTACCTGTGAGCCTTAAGGGACAGGGTGCAAGCCAGCGGGTCAGAGCAGTTTATGTTGGGGGCGGCAGAATGCCCGGGTCTGGACTTTTCAGCTGGCAGGCTCCCAAAGCCAAGGACGTGTGGAGGTGAGGAAGCAGGTGACAAGGCTGAAGTAAGAGAAACGTTGACAGCTGGGAACATCAATCCAAAAGGAGGCAGGAAAGAGGAACTGAGGAACAAAAGGCGGGTGTCTTTTGAAGCACTTGGGTAGGTAGGAGGCTGATGGGAGGTCCCCCTGGGGATTTCTAACAAGTTTTAAACGTGTTAATTCTCGGTGACTCAGACAAGGAAGAAATGGCTTTTCTTTAATAATAGCTGTTCAAACTTTTTATCTTTTTTTGAAAAACAAGATTCTCTATAATTTTTTTTTTAGCCATTGAAATTATTCTGCAAGTTGTTACTTTCACTGATGTATTTTGAAATCCTAACTGGCTGAATAATTTTTAAGGATGAACTACAAAAGGTACATTTGCACCACGAAGTTAATGTACATAGGTCTGTAAAGTCTGTATGAAGTACTACCAAAAAATTTTTCATTGCAGATCAATCTTCATTATCATTTGATATTCTTCTCAAGAATTATGAAATCAGAAAAATTCTAGGACCTTGAAGCTTAACTTTCTCCCTTTCTTTTACATAAATAAAGTAGTACATGGCCATCCTTAATATTCATCGTGATGGTGCTGGGAACTGAGTCCCAAGACCTAAGAATCAAGATTAGGCTGAACTTCAGCAGGTCACTCGTTGCATAAGGATGTGAATGGGAAGCCCTAGAGAACTCTCTGTTGTACTTGCTCATCTGTACGCTTTCACTGAATAGGGTGCCAATCTGGTGTTTAATAACTGGCACCTGCTTTTTACACAAAGGCCTCACACTCAGTGAGCTGTTAACTCGATTTGGGCTGACGCTACCATGTATGATCCCTCATTCATGCGACTCCTAAATTCTGTTGCAAGAACAGATCGATGTTTAATTACTGTCAGCATGATGAAGGCCTTAAGCGACACTTAGGTCCTGAAGAACTTTGGATTGGAGTTCTGCCGTCCCAGGGCTAGTTAAAATTAAAAGGCCAGAGGAAAATCCCCCAAGAAATCGTATCTTAGATCTCAATTCATAATGAAGAACATTTTCAGCATCGCCAAGATGGAAACTCATACTAGAAAACAATGCTCTGGTTTACAGACAAGCTCCCTGCGGCCCAAGTGCAGCCGCATGGAGGAAGCTGCTTTGCTGAGGGGAAGAATCCGGAATAATCCGGAAGACCGTGTGGGCTTGAATTAAATGAAAGTGGCTTTCCTCCTGAGGTGGTTAGCTAGGCTACCTGGCGGTCAATATGCAAGAGCTGTTTAAAAGTCAGACAGTAACGTCCTGTCTATTGTAAAGCCCCGATGAGTGCCGTGGTCACAGCTCTAAGTGTGGGCATCCCAACGAGAGTGACGAGGTCACGAGCAGCAGTGAGAACGGCCGTGTGAGCTCCGGAAGAAAGGTCAGTCCTAACACTTAGTCTTCATTCATCCCTTGCAGACGGAGGGGGAAGACTATGGCAAGAAATTGCTTTTCTCTATTGAAATGTTCATAACCTGTAGTTAAAAAATAGGACTATTCGGAAATTTGGAACCTAAGCAAAAGCATGGAGATTCCTCCCCTACCAGCTTTAAGATCTCTCCCTCCACCGCTACCCGAAGGATCCATACTTGTCTCTGGTCAATCAGGCCCAAAGGTTGGAGGAGACGGTGGCTGGAAGCCGGTGCGGGGTGGGGCGGGGAGGGGGGGGTGCGCCAAGAAGAGAGAAATGGTGGCAGATGTGGTGTATGAACAAACAGGAGGGGAAGTAACACTGTGAGGAAGCGGAGCGGGGCCTGGCTTGCCGAGAGGCACCCCGCCTTTCCCTCCGGTCTGTGGCGAATGAGGCAGACACACAACACAAGGCAGAAGCCTCACACGGGGGCTCCCCTACGGCAGCAACGCGCCGAGCGAGCTGGCTGTGCACGCACAGGACGGTCGCGCAGCCTGGCCTGGCCTGCCCGCACCGTCCCGGGTCTCATTCCTGATCCCCAGGCGATGATGCTGCGCACAGAATCAGCACCCGCCTGCACAGCCAGGGAAAGGCCTCCGGTCCAGGAGCACGACGAGCAGCACAGTGCACCCCTAAGGGAGGCTGCCATTGCTTTGACTCACTTAGGACTGGCCTGTCTCTCCCCCTAGTGGCTGGAGAAGGGAACGCGCTCCATGTCATAAATGGGCTGCTTAATTCAGAACTGTGTCACTTTGTTTCACAAACTTCCAAAGGGCTGCTGCTGAGTTAATTAATTTTTGATTGATGTTTAAAATAGCACCTAAGGAACTCATTCTGAAAGGAGCGACTTGCTTGTGAGGTCACACCAAACTTTCAGGGGCTTTGATATTGTCTGCTTCTGTTTTTCTTGTTTTTTTCTCTGATGTTGGAGGGAAGGAGGGAAGAAGGGAAGGAAGAAGGGAGGGAGCGGGGGAGGGAGGGAGGGTCCTCCTGTTCTCTCTCCTCCTCCCTGAAACCTCAGGGACTTCCCGAGGGAGGGGCCTAGGGGAGCCCTTGACTTCAGTTTGGAAATATGAACTGAACTCCAGTGTTCAGGTGGCGCTTGGTTCTCTTCATTTCATCTCCCTGTAAAAATGGTAACAGGCCCCTGAATCATCGATTTACAAATGACAACAGATGAGTGAAAAGAGCGGTAAGAATCTGTGGAGGAAATAACCCACGTTGGCTATTCCACCTCCAGGGAAAGTCTGTTGGCACTGGAGCCCGACACCTGTCTTTTTTCCTCGTTTCTACTTGATATTTTTCAGGAGGGCTGTCCGGGCATTCACCACCGCTTTGAAGGCATCTTCGCTGCCAGGCGCTACGCACTTGTCAGGGTGGAGCAGCACGGCGAGCTTCCGATATGCTTTGTTGACTTCATCCCTGCGAAAGCAAGCAAAGCTCTCTGTCAGCGGCAGGGGCCGCGCCACACACTGCATTTAGCCGTTTGGGTACTGTAATAGCTTTTGCCTTGAGCATCTCTCTACCCTTTCCAACCACTACCCTTTCCAAAGAAGGGACTAGGAAACAAGCGACTAACAAACAAATAATACGTAACATACAAGTAGCAAAAACTACAACGCAAAATGGTATATAAATGCCAAGGAAACGCCTGGTAAAGGAAAGATCAGATGAAGGCTGACAGCGCCAGGCACCTCGCAGGCACGCAGCACGCCTCCGCGGACTGCAGGAACGAGGACACGGGGGTCGGGGCAGGCCCCCGGACCACGTGGGGGACCCGGGCTCCAACAGGTGGGCCTGGGGGTTCCCACAGGGGTGGGAAGTACAGAGCAGTGTGGCGACCGGTGGGGGCTGGGAACGGAGCATGCGCAGGCGTGGAAAGTAGGAGAAACCAAGTGGGTGGGGCAGGGGCGAGTAAGTGACGGTGGTGAAGGCCAAACAACAGGAAAGCTAGGTTTGATCAACACAATAGCAGGCGTTTCATGACAAAATGCTGCTGGGGATGCTGTTTCTTGGAGCTAGGAGACAGGTAGGAGGAGGTTGTTACCACATCCCAACCAGAGTGTAAGAGTTTAGATTACAGTGTTTGTGGAAGGGAAGGGAAGAGGGAATGTAAAGAACGAGCTGGCAGAAGCAGGTGATGAGCTGGGCCTACAGGTTGATAAGATGTGAGGGAAAGGGCCGGAATGAGTTCCAGGGTTACAGGGAGTCTGAGGCCAGGGCAAGGTGGTGACACTGATGACCACAAAGGGGGCACAGAAGGGGCACCTGAGACCAAAGGAAAAACGAAGGGCATTACTCTTATCTAGAGAAGAAAGGAGCAGTAACAATGAGCACTTCTCCAAAGACCAGCAGAGCCCCAGGGGAGGCCTCTGGGCCTCTGAGCTCCTCAGAGAACAGGAACCGGTGGGGAGGGGCCTGGGGGCCGCCTTCCTGTAGCTGCCCTGCTCTTCATCCTCAGGGGTCAGGCCTCGAGAGGCTCTGCACTCCCAGCCACTACCCTGGTCAGAGTCTGGCTTGGTCGCCACCAGACGGTTTTCTTTCCTTTTGTAACTCAGGGTTCCCGTTGCCCTATAAGCTGGGATACGGTGCTTTCCCGAATGCTCTGACTTTTCTCCTTCATTTTGTACCAGGACTTCTAGTTTGGCTCTGCAAATTAGGGAGACGGACTTTGACATCTTAGACGTAACAGAAAGTCTGCGTGTCGGCTTGGAGAGGCAGAGGTCCTGGGCCACGTTAACAGTTCCCCACGGCTTGGGCATCCATTCTAAGGCTTTTTCTGTTGTCTGTTTTTAGGGGAGTCCTGAATTTTCCTGTTTTTATTTGCACGTAGCTTTTCTACATAGGTGCTTTTGATATTAGCTAACAAGGATCGCATTCCCTGCAAAAGACTCCCTGTCCTGAGGCAGGAACAGCTTCCCCCTGCCCCGCCCAGGGAGTGCTGGGCCGGCCCAGCCCCGCTGCTTCCCACGGGAGCGGGCAGGCGGCCCCTGCGCCACAGTCGGGCTGGGGCTCTGCGCTAGCAGGGCTTTTAAATGCTCTCAGCAGCAGGGGAGACTTGCAAGGAAAATTTGGAGAAACAAGACTCAGTCAAGTGTGTAAGAAATGTATCAATTCTACTGAAGATGAAGATTTTCCTAAAGTTCAAGAATAGTAAACAGGACTGAACAAACATTAAAACTCTCTGTAACTTAAAAAAGTCTCCAGGTTTTATCTAAAAGTGTTCAATGCCATTCAAAATTAGTTTGATATACCCAAAGAGCAAAGGTAAGAAAAGTACGTGTTGCCCTGGAAGGCTCAGTTGGTTGGGTGTCATCCCGCAAACCAAAAGGTCATGGTTCAATTCCTGGTCAGGGCGTGCGCCTGGGTTGCAGGTTTGGTCCCCAGTCAGGGCACATGCAAGAGGCAACTAAGTGATGTTTCTCTTTTACATTGATGTTTCTCTCTTTCTCTTTCTCCTTGCCTTCCCTCTGTCTAGAATCAATAAAAGATTTTTTTTTTAAAAAAAAGAAACTACATGTTTATATTGGTTAAGAGAATTTACAGAGGTCCTGTAAATTTTGGTAGATTCCAATTAACCACAGTGAATAAACAAGAAACCAAAGTTTCTTTTTCCTTAATATTGTTCTAAGTTAATTCATAAGTAAAGTAATATTTTCTTAGTTTTAGAGCCAATGTTCCTTGAGGATCAAATGGAAGAATTTAGAATGAGACCATGGAAAGTCTAAAGGGACTTCTAAAAGACACCGGCTAACTTTGTGTCATGTACACGGGGCCATCTGAATTCCCTCTTGGGGCGGAAGCGGCTGCAGCAGTGCCTGGCCAGTCACAGGTGACCAGCAACTACCTTCCTCTCCCCTCCCTCTTTCATTCTGGACTGAAGATCTGCTGTGAGACAAAAGTGGAGAAGAGATGTTTAATGCTGTTGATGCAGGCAAGGCCATTTCCAGATGTACCTTTCTGAGTGTGGGAATCAAGGTGAGAGAGTAGAAAGGGAGAGCCGTGGAGAGGAAAGCTACAGTGGGAAACATAAAGATCGGGGAATTTGTCAGTTGTACCATGCACAGTAATAGCAGTATTATGTAGTAAAAGTTCATGGAAACATAGAAAGTTCTTAAGAGAGAAGATCCCAAGAGTTCTCATTACAATGAAGCTTTTTCTTTTTTTTCTATATGAGAGGATGGATATTAACTAAACTTGTAACTTTTTCATAATATATGTAAGTCAAATCATTAAGCTATATACCTTAAACTTATACAATGCTGTATGGGAATTATATTTCAAGAAATTGGAAAAGAAGTTATATAACCATACTAAACATGATTTATTCTTGCACAGCAACAAAGAGTAGTGATTTATTTATTGTTCTCTGAAATAATTCTTTTGGCTAAAATAACAAACACACAGATGAAGTAGCAGGACTTTTGAAAAAGACAGACAGACAGACAGACACACACACACACACACATACACACACACACACACACTGTTCAGGGTCAAAAACCAATTTTACCACTAACTCATGAGGTTATTGAATGTGTTTAATCACTAAGTCCCAGTTTTGCCACCTATAAAATGAAATGTTTGGACAAGTTGGTTGTTAACGTTCCTTCCTCCTCTATAATTTTATAATTTAAGAATTCTCTTTTGTAAGGTATTTTTAAAAAAGATTTTGTTTACTTATTTTTAGAGAGAGGGGAAGGGAGAAAGAGAGGGAGAGAAACCTTGATGCACAAGAGAAACATAGATTGGTTGCCTCTCGCACGCCCCCAACTGGGGACCTGGCCCGCCACCCAGGTATGTGGCCTGCCTGGGAAATGAACCGGCCGGCTACCTTTCTGTTCACAGGCTGGCATTCAATCCACTGAGCCACACTAGCCAGGGCTATAAGGTATTTTTTTTAAGGATACATTAGCTTTAAGGCTTTTATTCAACAAAAGCAGAGCATACCATTTCAGAAAGTATTTATGCATATACACTACATAGTTCCCACATTAGGCAACTGCTATCAACTGAATAACTGATACTCAGTTAATTCAGTGAAAGAGCATTATTAAGTAATCTATTTCCCCACATCTTCATATTTCTAGACAATTACAAGAAGATGTATTGTGCCTATAATTTGGACAACTGAGCCTTTCTCTATAATAGAGCTCAGCACCAGTATCACAGAGCCCTGCTTACCTTGAGGCCCCAGGTTTGACTCCCAACATGTCCCAACTGTCTTTGCTATTTCGAATTCTGCGAATGGTGTCGGCCTGTTCCTTGGTGAAGCTAGTACTGCTATTTGTGATGGGACGCTTCCCTCCATTTTCACATAATTCGACTATGGATGCATAAAAGGTCTGCAAAAAGAAAACACATCCCACAGTAGAACCGATTTTGCAAAAATAGGAATTGCCTTTAAGCATTATCTTAAAAGATTTTAATATATTCCAATACCTTAAAATTCATAATAAAGCAAATATTTCAGAGATAAAAGAAAACATGATCAAATAATTAGAGGAAAATATACTCTTAATGAGTAGATAAAGAATCTCAAGAGAGAATTGGGAACTACACAAAAGAACCAAATGCAAATTCTAGAAGTGAAAAATACTGAGTTAAAAAATTCAGTGGATTTAACAGCAATTGAAGTCAAAGCAATAGAGATTATGCAATCTGAAAAACAGAGAAAAAAATGGAAAATAAACATAATCTCAAGGATTTTGGGACAAAATCAACTGATACATATTACGCATATATAGAGAAATAAAGGTAAAAAAAATCTCCCCAAATTTAAGGGAAAACACTTGCACACCCATCTGAGAAACTCACCAAGCCCCAGTTAGGGTAAATATGAAGAGAACCACACCCAGGCACAAAGCACAAAAATAAAGAGAAACTCTTGAAAGTAGCTAGAAGGGGAAAAAAGACATTATACACAAAGATGTAAGAGTAAGAACAGGTGCTAACATCTCAGGAGACAACAGACAGCAAGAGAATGGACTAGCATCTTTAAAGTGCTGATTTAATCTTTAACAATTATTATTTATCACTCTTGGACAAATTACTACTACTCTTAGGTGCCCTCATATCTGAAACAAGTATGATACCTGACAGACATTAAGAGTGCTGAATGTGATGAAATATGTAAACTCCTCCAGAATTGTAAAGTACTAGTCAAATGGGTAAGGATTATTATTGCATATATATAGGCACAAACCCACAAAAGTCTGTGTACTCAAAAGAATACAAATGTGGCAATCCAACCTCAACCTTATTTGGCCTTGAAACAGAAGCTATTGATGCCCAATTTCACCTGTCAGTCAAAGATGAAACCTGTCTTCTAATAGGAGGGGTGACAGCTTGTGAGAAGAAAATTCAGCATAAAAGGTTAAGTAAAATCCCACTCAATGATTAAGAACAACTCTTTATAGTATAGCTACATTATCTGAAGTGCTAAAAATTCCCAGAGTATCAGATATATTCAGAAGAAGAATGCATTATTCATTCCACCACTTCCAAATGGATTTATAATCAAGAGTTAACTTGACTTTATAAATTAAGTGTTTAAATACCTTCCTCCCCTTAAAATTATTCAAGATTAGTAAATTTTAAAAAGTGACCATCTACGCGGGTTGCAGCGTGAGTACAGCCTTCTACGGCCCACTTGATTGGCAGACCTAATGTTTACATGTGTCTGGCTGGATGCCGCACTGACGCCCGTTCTCCACCTGCACGCCCAGGGGCACAGCCCTGGGTTCCCTTAGCTTCAGCAAGGCGGGTCTGCAAAGTGAGGCTTCCGCTTCCTTCTGCATACAAGCGTAACCAAAGGTAGTTTGGAAGTAATCCTTTGTTCCAGTTCAGTATATAATGTTGTTAAACTTGACGATCATCAGAATCACCTAGAAAGCTTTCGCAAAATAATAGATTCCTGGCTCCTTCACAACATTAAACTTCCAGTAGCTCTGGAATCCAGCAATCTGTATTTTGAAATTTCCCCACGTAATTCTGATGATCAGCTAGGTCTGGTCTAAAATAGACAGCAGACAGGTATCACACGTACACACATACGCATATTCATATCCTCGCTCTTTTTGTTTCTCTCACCAGCTTCTGAAAAGAAAGCGCTTATTCTAATGAAACATTCCTTTTTTGCTTCTCATGATTTAAACTAAACTTTGGCGCGGGCTGCCTGGACACAGTGTCTACAACAGCACACTGCTGGGTTACCTGGAACATCTCATTAATTCCTTCTCCAGTTTGTGCTGAAGTTTCAAAGTACAGGAAGCCTCTGCTTTCGGCCCAGAGACGCCCTTCGCTTTCATCGACGCAGCGGTGCTTGGCACAGTCGATCTGAAACAGTAAATGGAGGGGCAGGGAAGGGTCCAGCCTTGTCCCGCCAGAGAAGGCCCAGGGAGGTCTCTGTCTTTCTTTTACCAAGTGAACACTAGTCTTACATGAGTCCCAGCACTAGCACCTAACACCACCAGGACCAAAAGGGACAGAACATTTACTGATGTTGGATGCGGGCTGATTTTCTGTGGCAAAGTGAGTGCCTGTTACTGCATTTTCAACTTTGTCCCTTGGGAAAACTCCTGCTGTTTACACTCAAGGGGCTTGGTCTGCTTTTCCCACCCTTCCATAGTCCTCTTTTCACCTAACGACCACCCCTCCTCCAACCAGATTAAAGCGTGATAATTAGGATCCATGTCTCCCCCTCAGCCACCAATATCATTTCCAACTATGGCACCAGCCACATTAAAAATGGATAAGGTTACATTAGCTTCAAGGCTCTTATTCAACAGAAGCAGGATACCATTTCAGGAAGTATTTATGCATATACACTAAAATCTGATATACCAGATTAAAAAGAAAAAAGTTCTTGTTTTAGGGATACGTTTTGAAAAGTTGTTCCTTTATCATCAAATAAGGACTTTTTCTTTTCTCTTTATCCGTTCCTCTCAACTCAGAGCTGCACTGGTCCCAGTATAAATCTAGAAAGGTGAGCATGCCGTTTCCAAAGCAGGTACCTTGTTGGCACACACGGCAAACACAATGTTCTCCATGTTTCCGTGAGGTCCAAGGTCTTGCTTCATTTCTGCCAGCCACGCATCCAGGGCGTCAAAGGAGTCTTTCTGCCCAACATCATAGACCAGTATCACACCCTGCGTGTCCTTGTAAAACTCATTACGGACCTTCACATAAAAGAACAGATGTACAAAATCTGAAACAGTAAGTTAGGGGGTTTGTGATTTTATAAAAATGTATCTCAGTCATTAACTTAGCAAAGTTATTGTTCTTTTGTGTATTCACGGTATTTGCTGCTGTATTTCAATATCTGGTCTTTCAGGGACTTTTTATAAAATCAAAATAACATAATAATAAAAAAAAGGATGTGTAATGGACACAAGGCTTCCTGCCCTACCCTTCCTCACCTCCAGTCCCCCTCTCCAGAGGCAATGGATCTTTAAGTGTTGTTAGTAGACCTTAAAAGAATACAAATTCATAAAGTTCTTCTCAGGAACAATTAAAAAGCACGTAAGGCAAAAATGACACAAATATCAGCAACGGGCACAATCACCGACATATCACACCCAAAGCTGGCTTCCCCAGGAGGCCAGGCGGCTTCCCTGTGAGCCTGGGACCCGGACACCAGCTTCAGAACTCCAGACTCAGAGCCTCAGTGGAATGTAGCGGGAAAGAGCTCAGGCTCAGGAGTCAGACACGTCTCGGTTCACACTTACTTACTAGTTGTGTGGTCTTGGGCAAGCCACTTAACCTCTCTGCGTCTCAGTTTCCTCATCTGTAAAATGGGGATAATACCACTTACTCCACGGGGTTATTATGAAGATCAAATGAGATAATGAAGGCGAAGCACCCACATGGTGCCCAGAAAACAACAGGTATTAGCACCTTCTCCCTTCCTTCCTTGCATTCATTCTCCAACTGTCCTCCTTTGATGTTTTCATCAGAAATGGCAGCCCACCTCTGGGGCACCCCTTTTAGCCTACAGTCCTGGGAAGAGGCACCACGAAGTACAGGGCGCACGGACGGGGCCGAGGCAATGGCAGGCGGAGCGGGTGAGGAGCAGCGTGGACAGACTGGGGGTTTCAGTGACAGAGGCCATGCATTATGAATTCTTTTCAAAGTATTCCAGCATGCTTTCAGAGTCACACTGGACATAGAGTCAGAAATAAAGCCATCTCATACACGTCAGGCGTGAAGTGCCTCTGGTTTTCTGAGCATAGACAGCTGGACCAAGAATGTGTCTATTAAATAACAGAAACGTAAGAAGCTATCCCCTGAAACTAAACCCAACAAAATCAGTAAGAATTTAAAGTGCTGAGGACCAGGGGCCTTCCCCCTCCGCCCTCCCGGTCCTTAGCCCGCCTGTGGTGGTGAAAACGAGACTCCCCTTCCCGGGAACCTTGCTGCCTGGGCCTCCGTAGGCCGCATTCCCTCCCCGGGTCCTCACACCTCGTGCACCGGCTCCCCTTCTCGCCACGGTTCCCACCCCAGCCTGCCACCATCGTGCCCGGATCCTGGCCTGGGCCCCCTTCCTGTCTCTTTTCCTTCTTCCCTGTCTCTTTTCCTCCTGTCCAGTGGGAGCGCAGTCTCGACCACTCTCACAGTTTCAGTTGTAGGAACCTTCAGGATGAGCCCTTTCATCTCTGCTCCCAGGCCTGCATTTCCAGTTAGCTCTAGACGCTTCCAGCGGAAGGGGATCTCAAGTTCAGTCTGTACAACAGGAAACTCTGCCGCTCATTCCCCCTAGGCTTTTCCTCCTCGTGAACGTCTAATGATGGAAGTAGCAGGCCACTCTCTCGGTCACTTGGGTTGACAGACTGGTGTCAATCTTTGCTGCTTCCCTCTCCCTTTGGTCAGCAGATTCAAATAATCCTGCAGAAGCCACCTCTGCCACATTTCTTGTGCCTGTCACTTCCTTTCCATTTCCACTGCCAATGTTATCTCTGCAAGTCTTCTAAGTAATCTCCCTAGCAACATTATACACTGTGCATATTAATCTTTTTAAAACCATGGCTCAAAAATTCTTTTATTAAAATTATATTTTATTGATTATGCTATTACAGTTGTCCTGATTTTTCCCCTTTGCCCCTCCATCCAGCACCTCCCATTCCCTCAGGCAATTCGTCATCATTGTTCTGTCCAAGGGTAATGCGTATAAGTTCTTTCACTACTCCATTTACTATATTGTACTATATCCCCATGGCTATTCTGTGACTACCTATTTGTATTTCTTAATCCCCTCACCTCTCCACCCATTCCCCCATACCCCCTCCTATCTGGCAACCATCAAAATGCTCTCCATATCCATGATTCTGTCTCTCTTCTTGTTTGCTTAGTTTGTTTTTTAGATTTGATTGTTGATAGATATGTATTTATTACCGCTTTATTGTTCACAGTTTTGATCTTCTTTTTCTTAAATAAGTTCCTTTAACATGTCATATAATAATGGTTGGGTGATGATGAACTCCTTTAGTTTTTTATTGTCTGGGAAGCTGTTTATTTGCCCTTCTATTCTAAATAATAGCTTTGCTGGGTACAGCAATATTAGGTGTAGGTCACTGTTTTTCATGACTTTGAATATTTCTTGCCAACCCCTTCTGGCCTGCAAAGTTTCTTTTGAGAAATCACCTGTAGGTAATTAACTTCTTTTCTCTTGCTGCTTTTAAGATTCTCTCTTTATCTTTAACCTTTGGCATTTTCATTATGATGTGTCTTGGGGTGAGCCTCTTTGCATCCATCTTGTTTGGGGCTCTCTGTGTTTCCTGGACTTGCATGTTTATTTCCTTCATCAAATTAGGGAAGTTTTCTTTCATTATTTTTTCAAATAGAGTTCCAATTTCTTGATCTTTCTCTTTTCCTTCTGGCGCCCCTATGAAGTGAATGTTGCATCACTTAAAGTTGTCCCAGGGACTGCTTCTATTACACTCATCTTTTTGGATTCTTTTTCCTTCTTGTTGTTCTGATTGTTTGTTTTTTGCTTCCTTATGTTCCAAATTATTGATCTGATTCTCAGCTTCATCCACTCTACTCTTGTTTCCTTGTAAATTGTTCTTTATTTCAATTAGTGTATCCTTCGTTTCTGACTGGATCTTTTTTATGCTGTTGAGGTCCTCATTAAGCTCCTTGAACATCCTTATAACCAGTGTTTTGAACTCTGCATCTGATATAGACTGCTTATCTCCATTTCATTTAGCTCTTTTTCTAGAGTTTTGATCTGTTCTTTCATTTGGGTCTTATGTCTTTGTCTCCTTGTTGTGGCAGCCTCCCTGTGTTTGTTTCTATGTCTTAGACAGAGCTGTTTTGATCCGTGCCTTGGTAGTGTGGCCTAATGTAGTAGGTGTCCTACAGGGCCCAGTAGCACAGCCTCTCCTATCACTCAAGCTGTGTACTTGAGGTGTGCCCTTTGTGTGAACTGAGTACAACTTCCACTTGTAGTTGAGCCTTGATTGCTATTGGCAGGTCAATGGGAGGGATTTTCTCAGGCCAGTCAGCTGCAAGGACTGGCTGTGACCACTGACCACCACCCTCTCTCCTCTGTGGAGGACCAGCTGTGCAGGGGCAGGGTGGTGGTTCTCTGATGTGGTCTGTAGCTGTCCAGTGGGAGCTCAGACTCTGGGGTTTCCCGGGTGGTGCAGGGCAAGGTCAGCAGCTCCCTGTGCTTTGCCCAGGGCCACACTACCTGAGCTATTAAGCAATCTGGGATGGCTGCCACTTATGCTGGGCTTGGAGATTCCCAGGCAAAGCCAAGTTGTTAATCTAGGCTGGCTGCTGCTAGTGTTGGGCCTGGGACTCATTGAGGCCAACTGTTGCTTGTTTGATAGGATTTAGGAAGTTGTGAAGCATGAGCCAAGACCAGCCATTCATATGCAAAAGCAGCTTGGGCGGGGTAGAGCGTCAGGACCTCCAGGGTGGGGCAATCAGTGTTAGCCAAGTTGATGGGAGTCTCAGAAATAGCACCAGCTTGCCGGCTTTATTAGGAGGAGAGTACAGAAAAGGGACAATGGCCTCTGCTCACCTTTGATGCCAGGTACTGTAATTCCTCCCTGTATGCCACTGGTGCCTTTCAAGCTGCTACCAGGTGCTGGAGCTCAGAGAGAGTGAGTCTGAGGAGGTGAGCCCACATGTGGGTTAAGAGGAACTGCTTGGGGCTGCAGCAGTTTCTTCTACCGACTCCATCCCCACTAGATTTTACAGGCAGAAGTTGTGTGGACTTAACTTTCTGGCACTGGAACCCTGTGCTGGGGGTGCCTGGTATGGGGTTTGGACTCTTCAGTCCTGAGATATCCCTCCTGAATTTTTATTCACCACACATGGATGTGGGACCAGACCGTTCTGCATCCGTGCTCCTCCTGCCAGTCTGGATGGATGTGGTTTCTTTAATTCTGTAGTTGTCAGACTTCTATTCAACTAGATTTCTGATGGTTCTGAGTGACGGGTGTCCTTTATTTTAGTTGTAATTTTGATGTGGTTGTGGGAGGAGGCGAGCCACGTTGGCCTATGCCACCATCTTGACTGGAAGTCCCAAAAATTCTTTAGTGTTTTTCCACTGCCTGCTCCTCAAAGTTCAAACTCTCTTTATTGATGTTACAAGTTTCTGATCAATCCTCTCCCAACTTCTTAGTCTCATCCTCCTCCTAACTCCTGTACTTCAGACTGGATAATCGCTCATCCCCAAAGCTGCCCTATGTCTTCTTAGCTCCATCTGGAAATGGACACCACTTTATCTTCAATCTCTTAAAGTCTACTTACAATACGGTACCTTTCACATAGTTTTCTGCCCTGTTCCTCACCATTGAACTCCTTACCCCTGTCAAACAGAACATAATCTCTAACTCCCCTAGAATATCACGGCATTTTGTACTTTTTAGAGTGCCCTTTCTAGTTTTACAGTTTACAGCACACCCGGCTGCCTCCTCACTCGACTGTAAGCTGCACGGAGGCAGCATCTTGATGCCTCTGTCTTTGTGTCACCCACTGAGCCCAGGAGGTTCAGACATATTTGCTCAGTCAAATGGCTGAATGCACTTTGGAGGAGAACAAAATAGAGGTCAAAGGGGGAAAGAAGTTCAAAACATGGATCTTGAGGGGGATTTGTGTATAAAAAGAGACTTAAGTAAGTGATTTTACTACCTCAAACCTTAGTTTCCTCATCTGTAAACTGAAAAGGCCAAAGAAGATGTCTCAATGGTCCCCTACCACTCTATTGTTCCTGTCTCCCCAGACAGCCTTCTACTCTTAATCTTGGCAGACCTGCTACATCCAAAGTTTAATTAAATAGGATGCTAAAGAAATTGGTATTATTTAATTCTTAATGCAAAGATGGCAAACTTTCTAGCTTGTAGGTTAGAAAAAGTTGTTTAATATCACTCAGGCCTCAGAAAGTTTCTGCGGACCCACTAACTCCCACCAAGAGACCCCAGTGGAAGCAAGACGGGTGGTGAGAGTCAGGCCCCGCTGCTCCGTTGACAGTCATCTCTTTGACACTTGCCTCTGAGGTTGTTGCCTCACAGGCTAAGCAGACTGTCTTTTTACAGTAGGCCCTTTGGGCAAAGCTGTTGAGAGAACGGGTGACAGGGGAGGCTTCCGTACAGGATGGGCAACAAGAACTGGAGGAAGCCAGGGGTGACGACGATGGCTGGGAGCGCTCCCCGAGGTGGGTGCTCCGAGAAAAGGCACACCTGGGCGGCCTGGAGCTTCGGGAGAGGGGATGGCTTTGGTCTTGTCAAAAACGAAGGTTTGAGCTACAGATAGCAAATATTTGACAGCAAAGGAGAGATCAAGGCAATTTTGCAGAAAGGCCTCTTTAAAAGTGATGATTTCAAGGAGCTTCTATTAAGCACACTACCATCTTTATGAGCTGCTGAAAAAAAGCTATTACAGTTTCTGGTCGCATTACTGAGAGTCTAGTGTCTCATGATAGAAAGTAACAGAACACTTGGTGTTTTTCACTAGTTAGACAGTATCTGGAATGTCCTTCAGTTCTCAGCTCCCTGCCTAACTAGAGTTCATTCACAAAAGATGCTGATAGGTCTAGCTGTGGCAGGAATTAAAAATATATATATTTTACCGGGATAGGAACAAATGAACACATATTAGAAAGGCTCTCTTGTAGAAGAACCAACTCAGTCTATGTTGCTTCAAAATCAAGGTGAAATCAGTGGCGAAAGTCAAAGGATGGCAGGCTTCAGAAGGGAGTTGTTCATCTAAAGTTTTTAACTCTGTAAAACAGTAACTTGTGAAGCAGCGAGACCCCATCATTAGAGATCCTCACTCTCCAGCCTCTTACAGTCTGCACCACTCAAAACTGTCCCATGTACGGTATTGTCTCTGCATTCCCACCAACCTACAGCGCTCTTACTTATCCGCCTGCACTCAGCTTCCATTAACAGCACTTCCTGACCCTCATAAGCTGGGTCTGGGTTTTAAGTGCTCCCAAGCATTCTGTCCTTTGTTTAACATGTGTCTTCTCTGACATATTTATGTTCCATGACAGCAGAGGCTATGCATTTCCAGTGTTGACCACAGAAATTGGCATACTGGTATCTGGTGAATGAATAAGGCCATCAATCAAGAATGCCACAGAAAGAAACCTTACAATAGGCAGGGGTCAGGACCACATTAATTCTCAGGCTTCTTCTGACTCGGTTTTACATGATTTGGTGTAATCTAAGATTTGTGTCAGCACTTCTGGGAGTTGGGATGCATGTCAACCTTGTGGTCATCCAGAACCTCCATGCTTTTTCCAACAACAATGCTTGTGAAATTGATTTAGCCCACTGTAGAGGTTCACATTTAAATGGGTATATTTATACTCTTTTTTGGGTATATTCACCAGATGAAAGATTATTCAGCCATTAAAAGTTAGGTTTCCTCCAGGAAGATGGAACAGATGTAATTTTCCCTATTCCTTCTTCTAAGCACAAGTAAAAACCCTGGACATTACAGATATAAAATATACATAAGAAGACTCTGGAAGGTGGAGAGAAAAAGGCAGACAAGCTAGGAACCTCAGGACCTGAGGAACAAGACAGTGGTAGGTTTCCTTAGCTTTCTTTTGCCTCATATATCCATGACTTGAAGTTGAGGAAGTCCGACTTGGAAATGCCAAAGGGTGCGGACAACCAGAAGCCCCCCAAAAGCCTGCTCTCTTTAGACTAAAGAGCAGAGGGCAGCAGCCTCACAAGGTAAGAAACTTCAGACCACAACCATTCTACTTCAGCTAGACACCTCAACAAATTCTGTCTCTCTACCCCCACCACTCGAGCAAAGGCTGAGTGGAAATTTTAGAAAAATAAATTACTGAAAAATACAATAACTGAAGTAAAAAAGCTTAGAGACTGAACTCAACAACAAATGGAAGGGACAGTGGAAAGAATCAGAGAACTAGGAGGCAGCACAATAAAAATTACCCAATCTAAGCAATAGAGAGAAGTAAAACTAACTAATTAACTCATTAGTTAATAGAACAGAGCCTCAGGGACACACTGGACCACAACAAGACCAGGGTTCCCGTGGGAGAGGAGACACAGGGTAGGGCTGAGAAAGTGTTCAAAGAAATAACGGCTGAAAACTTCCCAAGTTTGGCAAGAGACATAAACCTACAGATTCAAGAAGGTCAGAAAACCCCAAACAGAAAAAATACTCCAAGTCATTCATGCCAACATATATGAATTAAACCTCTAACATTAAAGACAAAGGAAAAATCATGAAAGTAGCCAGAGGAAAAAACGATACCCCTCATGAGAAAAAACATTTCAAATGACGGCAGATTTCACATCAGAAATTGGGGAGGCCAGAGGATCTGCAAGTGCTGAAAGAAAAGATGTACCAACCCAGAATCCTGTAACCTGCAAAAATGTTCTTCAGGAATGAAGGGGAAATCAAATAATTCTCAATTAAGGAAAACTAAAAGGATGGCCAAAGAAGTTCTCTAAACAGAAAGGAAGTAACAGAAAGGAACCTTGGAAAATAATGGGATGATAGAATAGAGTAACCAAATACGGGTGAATATAATTGGCTTTCCTTCTCGCTTAAGTTTTCTAAATTATGCTTGACAGTTAAGCAAAAAGTAAACACTGTCTGACGTGGATCTAAATGTATGTAGAGAAAATATTTAAGGCAATTTTATTATAAAAAGGGGAGGATAAAGGAATATAAAAGGAAGAAAAATTATAGTACTACACTCAAACTGTTAAAATGACGACACTAGTAGCCTGTGATAACTTATATCCAGTAAAAGAGCTACATAGCAAAATTTTCTAAAAACATTATAGACAAATCAAAATAGATTTCAAAAAGTGTTTCTGTAACCCACAGGGAGGCAGAAAAAGAAGAAAACAGAAATGAAAAACAGAAAACAAAAAACAAAATGGTAGAGTTAAACCCTAACATGTAACAATTATATTAAATGTAAGTGGTCTCAATACACCAATTAAAAGACGGAAACTGGCATAATAGATTAAAAACACGCTACAACAATGTACTGTCCATATGAGAGTCATTTCAAATACAATGATGTAAGCAGGCCAAAAGTAAAAGGACAGAAAAAGATGTATCATGTAAACATTAATGAAAGTAAAGCAGAAATGTCTATATTAATGTTAGCTAAAGTAGATATTAGAACAAAGAAAACTTCCAGAGACAGAGGGGGACATTATATAATAATAAAATCATATAACAAAGACAACGCAATCCTAAATGTTTTTGTACCAAACAACAGGGTTGCAAAATACGTCAAGCAAAAACTGATAGAAGTGAAAGGAGAAAGAGACAAATCCACAATTATGGTTGAAAACTTAGACACCCCTCTCTCAGCAATTAATAGAACAACTAAACAGAAAATCAGCGAGGACATAAAAAATTTCAACAACATTACTGAACAACAGAATCCAATAAATGCTTATAGAACACTCCATCCAAAACAGCAGAATACTCTCAAGTGGAATGTATACCAAGATAGACCATACACTGGGCCATGAAGAAAAACCCCAAACCTTAAACAAATGTAAAAGAATCAAAATCATATACTGTGCTCTCTGATCACAATGGAATTAAACTAGAAATCAATGACAGAAAGATATCAGAAAAAAATCTCTAAATACTTGGGAACTTAAACACTTCTAAATAATCCATAGTTCGAAGTCTGAAGGAAAAAAAAATATATATTTAAATCCTCACTTGATATGTTTTTATTGATTTTAGAGAGAGAGGAAGAGCGAGAGAGAGAGAGACCCATCGATATGAGAGAGAAACATTAATCAGATGCCCCCACACGTGCCCTGACCAGGGATCAAACCCGCAATCTAGGTATGTGCCCCAACTGGGAATCAAACCCACAACCCTTTGGTGTATGGGACAACATTCCAACCCACTGAGCTACCCGGCCAGGGCGTGAAGGGAAATAAAAGGACATACTGAATGTATGAAATGAAATATGAATGAAAATTAAAATACAATATATCAAAATTTGTGGGACACGGCTAAGCAGTGCTGGGAGGAGAATTTATAGCACTAACTATGTACATTAGAAAAGAAGAAAGTCTCAAATTAATCATCTAAGCTCCCACCTCAGGAACACAGAACACGATAAACCTAAAGCGTGTAAAAGGAAGGAAATAATAAAGATAAGAACTGAAGTGAAAGGCCAGATTACAAAAGAGCAAAAAGGAAGCAAAAGGAAGGAAATAATAAAGATAAGAACTGAAGCGAAAGGCCAGGTTACAAAAGAGCAAAAAGCTTCCTTAGGGAAAATGAAAAACCCAGGGAAGGAAAAACAGGAGAGAATGGTCATGAGATGCGTTTTAAGACTACTTAGGGCTGAACAACAGGTGCAAGTAAACGAGTGGGGCTCTCTCCGGGGACGGAGCTTGCACGGCTGAGGCGCGGACCGGAGAGGTCCCTCCAGGACCCTGCTATGAAAGCAGTCACATTACGTGATCCTTAGGCCCAAGTATGAATGTAAGTATCCTTTCACATTCTGAGCTAAGGTATTAAGTAAAAGGCAACAGTCCTTTGAGGGTTAAAATGTCTTACACCAGCTACATTTACCTGTTTTTACACAGCATTTGATATGGGTTGTTTCGGAAAATTTAGGATCTTTCCCTAAACCACTGACAATACTAGATACAAGTTTTCTCAAAAGGCTTTCTTACCTCATAGAAGAACGGGTGTCCAGCCATATCAAAGATGTTAACTTTGACTTCTCTGTCTCTGACTTGTACCCTGAAATGTTCAAATGGAAAAAGATCCCTAAGAAGGTCATGGTTTCTGCATTCACATTAATATTATTGGTGACTTACACACTTCAAAAGCGTATGTGTATGAAATTTAAAAGAACTTAGCACCTCTTCTTAATTCCAGGTAATCTTCACAGCAGGAGCCAGCAGCTTCTGTGTTTTAACAACGCTGCACCCACTTGGAAAAAGCACCCTCATTTTCCTCAATAATTCACCTCAAGACACTCAGTCTGTACCCCTTACTAACAAACGGTGGCAACTACTATGGTACTAAGAAAAACTGATTTGTGACAAGTAGGAGGGAGATGAAAGGAAAACAAAATATTTTATTTCATTTAGTAAGACATCTTATTTACTACTGGTTATACCTGGTTACCATGCAGAACAGGAACAAAGATTCTATTATTAACAACGTCTGTTTAATTTTCTTGTGATCTCCATTTATTTGTGAGCAATTACAATAGTCAATTTGTTTTCAGAAATTTGAAAATAGAGAAAAGAACCAAAAAGTAAACAATCATTTGTATTAGAATTAACTGCTGTTAACATCATAGCATATATACTGCTAGTCCATTTTAAAAAAATCACTACTGGAAAGTGAATGAATAAAACATTACAAATAATTCAAACTAAAGGAAACTACAAAGATGAAAGCTTAAAACTAAACCCAAATCATATCACCCAGAAAAAAACCTTCATTAATATAGATGAAAATCACTGCAGATCCTTTTTATGCATAGGTAGGACTAAAAACCAAACATTTTAATAAATATGGGATTATACTATTTTAAAATAAAAAGGAATAAAATTTACTTTTTATTGAATTTAACAACAACAACAAAAAAGAAACTGAAGTGAACTGGGAGGAATTATTGAGCTTTAAATATAAATGTGTCCTTACTACAGAAATATTATTTCCTAAAATATTTCTCTAAGGTTAAAGAATAGAGATTATTAACAATAAATTAACAAATCAGAGACTTTAAAAAAAATAACGATTTCAGTTTTAGACACCATTGCTCTGACCCCCTCCTGTGGAATATGAGGACGTCGGCACTTGCTCTCACTGACCCTATCCTCTCTCCCGGTTTATTTCTTATTATTCTTTGTCCAAATATATAGCATCTACTTTCAGTTCTGAAACCCTAATTCCCACAGTTTTATATTACTTGTATAAAATTAATCAACCACCACTGATAATCCTACCATGATTTCTTCACTGCTGAATTCTCTACCATATTTTCATCAAGTTTAAGATGCGTTTTTGTAAAATAAGAATCCATCTTATAAAAGAGTGTGAGAATAGCAAAACAAAACAAAATAATAACAGCATTTGAGAGCATCTAGAGAAGATCTGGTATAATAATTCATATTAGAAAATTTTACTCTAAAGAGACAGCATTTGAGAAAAGATAGAACCGAAATATATGAGAGTCAGGAAGTAACATAAATGTGTTCACACGCTGAAACTCAAAAGAGGTCTATTTGATTTGGAAGCCAGAGAAAATTACCTCAAGAAACATGGCAATTCACTACCTCATGGCTGCGCTTTCCTAAGTTCTGGCCTGAAGACCACCAGCATCATGATTAAGGGAAGGGGGTGTTACAAATGCCCCACCTCTGACCCAGTGAACCTTCATAGGTAGGTATCAGGAATCTGTTTTGACAAACTCTACAAGTAATTCTTAAGCATACTGAAATTCAAGCTTCACCGTATTGAAAACAGGACAGAAGGAAAGGGCATCTATTGCTTTGCGGGACCAAAAGAGCACTTGTACCACCCCTCACCCCTTTATTCCCCCAACTGTGGTTCAAATGGGTTCTGCCATGTTCTTAGTGACCCCACAGCTGAGCTGGGGAAAGGAGTCTGTCCCCACCTGACAACCAAACCTTCCCTGGGAGCTTTAAGCTTGGAACACTAGTTTGGTCCCTCTCTGGAAGTAAAATTTACAGCGTGAGCCTGAGAGCTGCTGGCGGCTGTTCAGAGAAAGCCAAAAGGCAGCGAGAGAGATGCAGTGAAATGACGTGGCTCTGTTCTGTCCTTGGTTCGGCTGTCTCTGAGGCCCAGCTACCTCTGTGTGATAGGATTATGTGGGTTGATTAATGTTCTTTTAAAATACTTTTATTTTGAGTTCGTTTGAGTTGGGTTTCTGTCAATTACATCCTCCTGACTCGCACAGGACAACCATCTTCTCCAAAAAAATGTCAGCCAGAAACAGAATGATCTGCTGAATAAACCGCAGTTCTGTGGCATAATATGGTGGTTCTCATTTCTGGATGAATAAACTAGCTACTTGTATGATTCAAAACAAAACTGCCTTAAATAGGAAATCCTACCACATCACTGGTGAAATACTGTGTGCCCTGAAATGTAGATACACCCCACACCACTTTATCTACCTTTTTGAATGTTGCTCTAATATTCTAATCTTGCAAAATTCCTACTTAGATATACCCATCTTACCTCACAATAAATATTTATTGAGTATCTACTATGTACAAGCGCTGTGCCAGGAACCTGGAGATAATTTACGCAACTGCCCCCTTTTGTGGAGTTTATAATCTAGCAGGAGACATTAAATACATACAAATAATAACACAAGACAATTTATGATAAGTTCTATAAGTAGCAGAGAATTTTAATATTTCTGTCATTCGCAACCAAAGTGAGTCCTGCCTGGTAAAGGAGGCATTCAGAAGGCCTAAGGGGAACATTTTACCCCAGAGGGACAGACAGGTGGGGAGCTGAGGGGAAAGGCCATTTCAGGTGGACAGAGTGAACAATGGCACTGAGACAGGAAAGCATGACAGCCGTTCAGCGTGGATGGAGAATAAAGCGTGAAAGGAACGTAAGAGGAGAGAAGGCGGGGCAGGTTGGGACCAGGAGAGTGGGTGCCTGAGATTCCACCCTCAGGGGGTGCGCTGTCTCCCTCAGCTCTGCCCTTTGGCAGTGTTAGCTCCTATAGTGTAATACTATCTCCCCAAGCTCAACCTCTCTTGATTCATCTTCAAATAACTCCCTAATTACACCCAATTTCACCCTTCCTGGATCATTTTTTTCTCAAGTCCAATAGGCTATAAAGACCACAAGTCAATAAAGTTCTCTGATAGAACATTTTCCACATAACATTTAGACTTTTTAGAGAGAATATTTCAAAATGCTCTAAAAACATACCTGCTAATAGGACCTCCTTCTATAGAAACAAGTTTCCTGAAAAGTGTATTTGCCAGTTAGGGTCTGTGTTGACACGCTCAACACTGCACATCCTATACCTAACACAAGACCCGGTGACTAGGATGTGCTCCATGAAGAACTGATAGTGATGAACGATAAGATCTCTACTTAACTGTAAAGGTTTCATTCCTATTCTTTCCCAATTTATCTTCAGAATCTCTATTTAAAGACAGATCATTTTAGAAGGGTTCTGAATTTCTATGTACTTTACAAGCCCAAAGAAAAGATATACTCACTTTGTGACTCCATAGTCAATTCCAATTGTTGCAAGGTATTTAGAGACAAATCTTTTCTCACAGTATCGCTTTATAATACAGCTCTAAAAAGGTGAAAATACATGCTTTTAGTAAATATTTTCTGAGAACATATGCAAAATAAAGACATTTCTTCATTATGGTTTCTTTATTCATCACTATGAGAAAGCATTTTTAAACCCCAAAAGTATAAAATAACTGAAACAAATGCCAAAAGTGAAGATTTTAAAGAAAAATTATTTAAATTCTTCCCTTAATGTCAACCATGGGTACACTCTTAGTTTAGTTCTCAATCCTTGTGTTCTTTTCTTTGAAGGCCTCTTCTATTGGACTTTCAGCAATATAACCAAAATAGCGAAGCCTAGCCTTGACCTCCCTCCCAAGACCCAATGCCCATCTCCAAATATCTGCCGGACTACTTTCTACTTAGATGTCCTGCTGTTCCCTCAAATTCAACAAGCCCAAAAATAAACTAATCTCACAGTCAATACATAAAACAGCTCATCCTGCTGACATCCTAGTTCTGTTAATAATACTACCATTTTCCCAGTCACAGAGGATCAAAATATTAATGTCATGTTTAATTCTGAGCCTCTCTAAATCTTCTTCCAAATGTTTCTTCCACCTTTCTCTCTGTCCCGGCTGTCATTGATGCTGCTTTGGTTTAGGTCATCATTCGCTCCTGGACAACTGTAGGAACTTCTTTATCGGTCTCTTTCTGCCTTCTTTTCCTCCCAACTTCAGCCACTAATGCATACCACTAACATTATTTCAACTCAGAAATCTTCAGTGACATCTCACTGCCAAGAGTTCAAAGTCCATGTTCCTTTGTCTGTTACTCAAGGTCTTCCAATAACCTGGCCCTAATCTGTCTTCTCTGTCTAAACTCTTCTATACAAACTCTCCATCCATTTCTGCAAAATTCCCAGGACATGACTTTCAGAATAAGCTTTCTCTCATCTTTTCAAATCTTAGTCATCCCTTAAGGCTCAGCTCAAACTCTGAGTACTCAGGTTATAGGAGATCTTGTCTGCATCTGAATTCCTCTAGCTCTTGACATATACACTATTACACACACACACACACACACACACACACACACAATGCATTTGCCATTAGTCACACACTGCCTTGTATTGTTGATTACCTGTTCACATGTGTATATTTGCCTCATTTCTAAAGCTAGACAGTAAACTATGTGAGGGCAACACCAGTGTTTTTCTTCTTTATATCTTTTGCAGAATTAGCTCTGTGCCAATGATAAAAAAATTAAAAAGCCTTATATATTAATAATAATCCTTAGCACTTACGAAACCTATAATTTCCTTGGAGTGCTGGTAATAGAGTTTATTGTGCTTAAATCCTTTCCTGATGAACCACAATCTGAATTAAATAGGACAGTTACTATAAAAAGGACTTAGTAAGCTCATTGTGAACGGAAGGAAAAACTTGTTTGAAGTGACTACACTTTTTAAAAACACATTATAGCTTGAAAGTACTTCACAAATGTTTTCTCTCACAATATACTAAAAAATAAATACAGTCTTTCTCTAAATTATTCATGAGATTGAGGGGCCTAGAAGTCCTTTAACTCTAGTATGATATTTCAACACTAGTCCAAAGTGTTTAAAGAGACACACATTTAAACACTAGTGTTAATAACAACTCCCTATAACACGAAGGGACAGGGGTCCTGGTCCTTAGGCTCTGAGGAGCTAAGTTAAATAACATAAAATAGATTTTTTTTGCTTTCGATAGTTTTCTTAAATAGATTTTAAGGCACTCCTCTTTTTTTAATGAAATTCCAGTTAAAATCTTAACAGGTTTGAGTCTTTAAAAAAAATATAATTATCCTAAAATTCATATGAAGGAACAACTGAGAAGAACTAATCAAAGTATGAAAAATAAGAGGGATTTGCCTTGACAGATATTAAAATATACACTGAAACCAATTCAGACAGTATTACATTGGCATAAGAGTAGACAAATAAGTCAGTGGAACAAAACGGAGAGCCCAGAAATAGATCTCATTATGTAAGGAAATTTAAAAAGTGATGAAGGGCACATTCAAAATCAATGGGACAGAATGATTTATCTGGTTAAATGCTACTGGCACAATTGATTATCCATCTGGAAAAAAATTAAGTTGGGTGCTTAACTTCCCTATATACAAAAATAAATTACAGATGAATTTATGATTTAAGTATCTAAAAATAAAACAACACAAGTTTCAGGAGAAAATGTGCAACATATGTACAGCCTTAGCAAAACTTTTTCAATCAAGAAAGGAAACCCAGAAACCATAAAAGAAAATATAGACATAATTGAGTACATATAAATAATAAACAATAAAAACAATTGTATGGTAAAATATCTATAAGAATATTAAAAGGTAAATAACATACTTGGTCAAACATTTGTAACTAATATGACTGGTAAAAAGTTAATGTCCCTAAGTCTCCAAACTAGAAAACTTGAGTACAGGGAGTGTAAAATCGGGCAATACACAGAGGAGGAAATCCAAATATCCAATAAGCATATGAAAAGATGTTCCACTTCATCTGTAGGCAGTGAAATGCAAATTAAAGTAACAATAAAGTTACTTCTCATTAATTAAAAGAATGACAACACCTGTTTAGGCAGGGATTTGGGGGGAAAGGGTACCTGCCTACTAGTGATAGAAATACACCTTTCTGAAGAACAATTGGCATAACTACTAAAATTTAGAAATGTGTTCTTCAATTCAGCAATTCTACCCCGGGAATCTAGTCCATAGAAATCAGAATACCAGTATTTAAGGATATATATACAGGCATACGTTGGAGATAGAGCAGGTTTGATTCCAGACCACAGCAATAAAGCAAATGTGGCATTAAAGCGAGTGACACACATTTTTTGGTTTCCCAGTGCATGTAAAAGTTATGTTTACACTATACTGTAGTCTATTAAGTGTGATCAATAGCATTATGTCTATAAAACAATGTACAATATTTAATTTAAAAATACTCCACTGCTAAAAAATGCTGAACATTATCTGAGCCTCCAGCAAGTCACAATATTTTTGCACGTGGCCTATCTTCCAAGGTATAAAAAACAACAATATCTGTGAGGCCCTATAAATCAAGGTCTGCCTATATTTATACACACAGACCCACAACAGTATTTATTGCAAAACTGTGGTAGGGAAAAAGCTGGAAATAAAGTGAATTCTCATCAATAGAGGGACTGCTTGTATATTATGGACTATTATGCAACCATGAAGAAGAGTGAGTTATTTGTCAGGTAACTTGGAAGAATTGCCATAATCTATCATTACGAGAGAAAAGCAAACTCCAGAGAAGTATATATTACAATAGTGTATGGTGGGGGTACTTCTGACTGCAAGTAAGAGAAACCAAATTCAACAGGAAGGTATTTATTTACTACAAATGGAAATCTAGAATTAGGGCAAGCTTCAGAGCTGGTTGATATAAAGATTCAGTGGTAAGTATATTAGACAAGTTCAGATCCTAGAGGACCCCGAGAACTGGGGTGGGGCTCTGGGAGCAGGTTGACTGCCAATGCTGCACGTTGAGTTGGATATAAACAAACCACACAGAGAAACCTCAGGATTCTCCCAGAGGGCATATTGAGCCCTTTGGAATCTTTTTCTTGTTGCATCTCCAGAACCTCCAAAATGCAATGCTAAATAATAAAGGAAAATAGCAAGTATCCTTTTTTTTGTACCTGTATTTCATGGAAATGGCCTTAGCATTTTACCATTTGGTATGTTTGCTTTGATTGATCACAAATATTGTTTTATCATAAAGCGTTTATTAGAATTGACTTGATTATATCAAATGTTTTTACAGTACATACTATAAATATTTCCTCCAGTAATCTGTTGATATAACAAATTATGTTGATTGACATCTTGATATTGAACCATATTTGCATTCATATAATAAACCCTATTTTTTAATAGTGAATTACTTTTATATATCGCTGAATTCTATTTGTTGGTATTTAGAAATTATGCATCTCTATGTATATGTGAAATTGGTATATGCTTTTCTTTTTTGACACTTATTGAGTTTTGCTATTTAGGTTACCATGATTTTATATAGTAAATTGGAATCCTGTTCATATTTTTCTTTGCCTTGGAATAACTTAAGAAACTGAAATCATGTGTTATTTAAAGCTTAAATGATGCTTCTTAATGAAGCCACCTGATCCTGATACCTTTTTAAATGGTAAATCTCTAAATTTATTTTGTAATTTCTCCTGGGGTAACTGGTCAGTTGGGTTTTCTACTTCTTTTTTAGTCAATTTTGGTAATTTATATTTTTCTAGGAAATCCTCCATTTTCTCTACATTTTTAAATGCATTCTCACAGAATTGCACGTAGTATTCTCTAATCATTCTTTTAATCTCTTCCAGAAAGTGACTGTCTCCTTTTCAGTACAAATCTTATAGTTTTTTCCTTTCTCTATTTTTTTAAAACAGATTTTTAGGCACTTTTTCATTAATCTTTCCAGAAAATTCTCTTTTAGTTTATTTTGTGTCCTTTTTCTAATATAGTAAGTTCCTCTAGTTTTTTAAATTGAGATATACCATACCATAAAATTCACACTTTAAAAGTGTATACTTCATGGTTTTTAGTATACTCACAAAGTTGTGTAACCATTAAATTCCTTTAGTTTTTATCTCTCTTCTTTAGAAATGAATAAAATAATGCATTTTCCTTTGACTACAGCTTTAATTTTGTCCTGAAGGTTTTTATATAGATTCTATCCTTTTAATTGCTTTATAGTTATTTTTGTCATTTGCTTTGATTTGCCTTTTGATCCAAGGATTATTTACAAGAGCATTCCTTAATTTTTAACTTAAAACTGTTTATCTGTATATCTTTCTATATTTTCCAAATTCTTTGAAGTGAGTTTGTGCTACTAACTTAATAAAAAAAAATTTTAAGTAACATTTAAATCTTTTATTCACATAAAATTTATTTTTGAGAGAGAAATGCAATAGGAATCTACTCTACTTCCAAACAGTAGGTACTTGTTCCAGTAGTACTGATTATCCCATGATTTAATTACAACTTTTGTAAACTGAATTTCCTTATACATTTGGGTTTATTTCTGGACACTATTCTATTCCAGTGATGTCCCTATATTTTCTTTCCAGTATCAATAGGAAAATCGTGGTAACTTTAAAATGTGTTTTAATATCTGGTAGTGTTATCCTCTCATATCTTTTTTCACAGTTTTCTTGGCTATTCCCATGTTTAATTTTTCATAAGGACTTTTAGTACCTTTTATGTTGTGAAGAAAAACCGTATTGGTAATTTAACTGGAACTCAATTATATTTGTGTATTTTTTTTTAAAGATCTGACATCTCTACGATATTGAGTGGTCCTAATTAAGGAGAAATATCTTTCCATTAGCCTAAGTAATTTTATGTCTCTCATAGAGTCTGAAATTTTTCTTCATATAGGTCCTACCTATTTCTCCTCAATTTTAAACCTAGGCACTTTATTTTGGTTTTCACTGTAAATTAGTTTTTCAATTATATATTCCAAACAATTATAATTTTGTATAGTAAAGCTATTAATTTTTGTATATTAGTTTTTCATTGCTAAATTTTATTATTGTTTCTAATAGCTTTTCAGTTAATTCTCTTTGGGTTTCTACATAAACAATCATATCATTAGCAAATAATGATAATGTTGCCTTCTTTGCAGTGCTTCATATTTTATTTGTCTGTTATCTAATTGTACTGGCTAATAAATCTAGAACAATGTTAAATGAATGTAGTGACGTGGCATTTGGGGTTATTTCTAATGTTGCACCATTAAGCATAGTAAAATTATAAAAGTGATGCATGCTCACTTTGCTAGTTTAGTATATAACCTTCTAGAGGCATTTTATTCTTTTCTTTCCAATGCCTGGCACATAGCTGATGCTCAGTAAACGTTGCCTTTCAGTGAATGCTATGTTAGTATGTGTGTGTGTGTGTGTGTGTGTGTGTGTGTATTTATATACCATTTATTTACCATTTATATATATATTTACCATAAATATTATATATTTATTTACCATTTATATGTGGTAAACATAAATGGTAAAAGGCTGCTAAATAGAAAGAAAAGACACTAATAAACATTTAATGAGCATTAACCAGATGCAAGGCACAGGCGGAAACACTCTCATTGACAGCTCTTTCAGCAGGGAGAGCCTATTCCCAGCTGATTTTGACAGCATGCAAATCAGGGAAAGAGCTCGGCTGTGAGAGTGTGAAGACGCAGGTTCTAATCTGTCTCTGTCACTAATTTTATGACCTTGAGACGTTCTTAACCGACAGCTTCCACTCGCCCAGGAGAGACAATGTGGGCGAAGAGGAAGCAGTCTTAGAAATCATTTAGGTAAAGACCTCCGGTCACCTCTCGCCTTCGAATCCCCCTCACCCCACATACAATGCGAGAGCTTGTAGGGGATACCCAGTAGGCTGAGGAAAAGGAAAAGGCAGTGGAACTAAGGCATCTTTGAGGGGACGGACGTGGTGACACTGCCAAAATAAAAACAAAACAAACACGCACAACAACATAACACAGGCTCCTTGACATCCACTGCACCTCCCTGGGAAACATCTCAGTATCAGTTACACTATTTACGACTAAAATGCTGGATTCTGGGCTCCAGGACTGCAGAGAAACATCTTACAAATCCTCAACCCCCACAAGCACACACGAGGGAAGTTTCCTTCGGCTCCAAGCACTGCTTGGGGCAACTAAACTTTTATTCGCCACCTCTAAGTCCTGGATGGGTCACCTAGAACGCAGATACGGTATCTAAGCAGATGGTCTGACGTTAGAATCTAGGCCTCCTTGGATTAAGGGTCATGGGAGACACCCTTTTAGAGAGAGTGACGTCAGTGGAAGATGTGACAACTCAAAGGTCAAGAAGGCCAGGAGAGTTTTCCTCGAGGAGCCCCATCTCCCAGGGGTAGACCAGGGCCTTCTCAGGGGCGGGGAGGAGGCTGGGCCCCAGGCTGTTGAGTGGCCGCCCTCGCAGCCAATCGGCACGTCGTTCCACTGTGCTGAGGTCCCGCCCCTACAAGCAGATACTCACTTTTCCCACTTCAGCGTTGCCCATGGAGATGACTTTGATGCGCAGGGACTTGCCAGGCTCCTTCCGCTTCGGCATGTTGGCCTCCATTGCCCTCGCTCTCTCGGGGCCACACGCCTCAGCTTCTCCTTGTTCACCACGCCGGCCCGTCCCTCAAGCCTCCTCATCCAATGGCGGAATCGCTGCTATCGTCACCGCCTGGACTCTGCGGCTCGCCATCCCCGCCACTGCACGGGAGCCGGCACCGGCGGTTGGGAGAGCAGGGCTGCGGGGGGGTGGGGGGAGGAGGTTGGGGGGGCGAAGAGTCTCGCGATGCTAGAAAGGGGAGGCGTGACGTCATCGCCAGGCCCTGGAGTTGAGGTTGTGATTACCTGAATTTGGGATCTGGAGACCGTGTCCCTGGGCAGGAAGGCAGCGGGCAGAGGTGGCTGAGTTTAGCCTTCACAGAGTTTGCGGCTTTGTGCCCATGGGCGCCAGGACATAGGCGTTTGTTACGTTCCCTGTTAAGTGGTGGAAATTTATGGGCTGTTTAGGGCAGATCCTCCTCCTGGGATCCCCTGGAATTATGGATTAACTAGTTCGAGGATCAGCAAGCTGAAAATTTGAAGTAGACCATGGTCCGTTTGCGGAGTTTTCCAAGTTCTTCAGTCCACCCTGGCCTGTCCACTCACTCCTCACCGTCCAATATTGTTTCCCCTGTTCTCACTCCCAAAGAGACAGAGTCAGGAGCCACAGAGATGGGGAAGTTGGGTCCCTGGTCCTGGTTCCACGACCCTAGAATAGAGGTTGGGAGAAAAAGGTGCCTGCCCCAATCCAATGCCAATGTTGAAGGTGGGCACAGGTAACAAGATTCTTGGTGATCATGGACAAAGAATTGAACCGAACACAGAAGTTATAGCAGCAAGAGCGCAGATGTATTAAGTGATAGTACATTCCACAGAACGTGGGAGAAGGCCAACTCCAAGCAGAGACTGACCTCAGGGGCTGGAGAGATTCTATTAATATAGGGTGGATATTTCTTGGCTAGTTTTGGCGGGTATTTGTTGCGTAGGTACAAGTAGTTATATTACTTTAAAGCTACTGTGCATGTAGTCTCCCATAGTTTTCCTTGATTGGCCACCAGGGAAGAGGGGTCCCCAATGTTAATTTATTATAATGCTATTATAATGAAACAGGGGTTAGGTAGCATCTTCTTATCAGGTGTATCCATGATTCACCATGATTCAGCACTTCTTCAGAAAACAGGAACTGGTTTTAGAACAGGATCTCTGCCCTCCATCAGATGGCCTTTATCTTAGCCGCGGGTCACCTCCAGAGTTTCCTCCCTCCTAACTCTCTCCTGCTTCACCAATAGGAGTCCCAATTCTGGGGTACAAAGTAGTCTTTATTCAGGTGGACAATTCACAGACTGGGAAAACACAGCCACCCAAGAAAACCAAAGATGCACTCCCTCCAGACAATGGAGGAAGGGAGGCCCTCTTATATATAGGGAAACTGGCTACCTGGCCCCTGATTGGTCTATTTTTATGCAAATAAGTGATCCAAATTTTCACAGTTTAACGAGCCCAAAGAGCACTGTCCCTATTTTTCAGAATCATGCATTCTGCTTGGTTGTTATGCAGCTGCTCTGATTGGTCAGTAAAGATACAAATGACTATGTAGTTGTTCCAGGCTGACTGAAAGGGCAGATCTCAGCTTATTGGTCAAAATAGAATTCCAAGAACTCCTTTATAATATGGTTTTTGGGCAGAAAAACAGTGCAGGAGGCTTGGCAGCTACATCTGTGAGTTTCCCCTGATAGAGAGAGAGAGACAGGCCACTGTAAACAATGGCTGCTAGACTCTGGACTATGAATTTGGACCCAGTTAACCACAAGGAGTCCTCAGGTTCAACAGGCCTTAGGGCAAGATCTCAATCCCATTCCTGTGATTAAAAAAAAAAAAGTTGTCCATTTAGAGTCAAGACAAGTTCAAGCTTAGTCCTTACTTTTTTATTATGTGGTTCTAATCCCTAGGAGAGACGCTCAGACTAGACATTTTTAAACTCTTCCAGCTCTATCAAGGTGTGCGTGCGTGTGTGAGTGTAGCTGTGCGTGCCTTCCTTCTTTTTCCTTCTCTCCCTGACAAACTTAGCCCCAACTTTTGTTCTCACCTCTCCTTCAGTTGACAATAAGGCAGTCAAATAATAATGAATTATAATATAACCACTTTTATGTTCTCTCATTCCAAGAGATAAGAAAAGCATCTGCTTGATAAAATCATTCTGAAAGGGACTGTAATTTTTTTAGTCAATATATTCAGTTACAGAAGATAAATAGAACTTAACAAATGATTATTTAGTGCTCTGAGAAAGAATGGCTGCCAATTTCCCAGTAACTTATAAGGGCAAAGGTAGTATTCCTTGTGTTCCCACATAGCTTTAAGCACCTTAAATGCATTGCAGGAAGACAGTAAATAAAGGCTCAAAATTTCAAAATAGTTATTTTAAGTTTGATTTTCAAATATTCCAATTTAAATTTTTAGTTTTAAAATATTATATGCTTTTAAAGAAAAATACCTATTCTGGCTTGGTTTCATAATCAACAAGTAATACAACATTTCAGTAAAGCTTCTAAAATTCTTTACAACGATGAAATATAAGTCATGGCTAGAGTTTTGATAGTTTTAAGCTTAGAGAAATTGGATTTAAACTGGTTCTCCAGATGCTGATCTCTCAGTGTGATTTAATACAATCAAGAAGCATGTATTTCTTTGACAGTTTACCTTTGACCCTATATATAGAACTGGTACTGTGGTAGAATAATTGCAAAATGCCAAGTCTTTAGCTATAAAGACTGGTTGGGTATGATACTTTTGAGCAAAAGAGCAATAAAACCTACCAAAATTTAAAATTTTTTACCATTTTTTCATATTGATGTTTTCAAGACTTGAATATGAATAGCCATGTTTTCTACTGGAGGTGTTAAATTAGTTTGGAGTTCAAAAAGCAAGAAAGTGGCTTTCTTTTCCAGTCTTGAGTGTAGAAAGAAGAAAGAGAAACGTGAATTCGCTGTGCATAGTGTGGAGCTGGGAGAGGTAAGGGGGTTGGCGCCTGAGTGCTGCAGTTGGCTCTGCTACCCAACCCCCCCCCCCCAGTGCTGCAGTTGGCTGTGCTACCCTCTGTGCTGCTGTGTCGCAGAGGGTGCTGCTGAGAGGGGCTGCCAGAGATGATGCCCGCGAAGCACTTGGTAACCCCCAATAACCAGTAGTCGTATGCATTCACTTACTTGTGTGTGTGTTATTTTTTAATTTATGTATGGAGAAAGATTCATATTTTAAACCTGTATTTTAAAAGTAAGTTAGGAAATACTGGACATGCTTAAAGGTATAAAGAATAACATAATGAATGCCTGTGTATCTACCACGTTGCATAAGAAATAAAACATCACGGATACTGTGTGTACTCTTCCCCAATACGTCCCTACTCCCTCTCTAGAAAAGATTGTAACTGACTGAATTGGTGCTTTTCACTTCCAGGCATTTGAAAATTGTTTCACTACACATGTGTATACACCTTAAAATGTAGTGTTGTGTTGTATTTTTAAGAAATTGATTTTGAAATAATTTCACTCAGAAAAGTTTTAAGAATAGGAGAAAGTCTTATATACCAATCATCCAGATTCATCAATTAACATTTTGTCTTGTTTACTATATCAGTTGTTCTATTTATCTGTTAATCTGTCTGCATTTTTTTCTGAATCGTTTGAGAGTGATTAGTAGTTATGTTTCTTTATCCATAAATACTTCAACATATATTTCCTAAGACAAGAACTTTCTCTTACATAGCAACTGTGTATGTATCAAAATCAGGAAATGGGACACAGATACAGCTCTATTATCTAACCCTGTGGTTCTCGTACTGCGTGCTGAGGTGCCCCGCAGCCCCCCATGAATTCAGTTCACCCGAGGATATCTTACATTCTAAATTAATCCTCAAGGCAAATAAAAAAACCCCCAACACTATGCAAATCTACTTGCTCGAGATTGTTTACAATTTCTACAGTAGATGGCGCCATATTCCTTATATTTGTCGTGTATTTGGGAAGCTGGGTTTTTTTTCCGTTACTGTGGAAAAAACCAAGCACAGTGCAGAAATCAGTGTGGAACAGGAAATCGGGGTGGTCTCATCCAACTTGATTCCGAGGTTTGAGAAGTTGTGCGGTGCCCAACACGTGCACAAATCCCATTGGTAAGTAATTATGGTTAAGAATGATATAAAAAATATTTTCATTCAATTTACATGTATTATTTTTTCAAGTAGTAATTAAATTGTTAGGGCATAAATACTTAATAAGTTGTTTGAATCTAGATATTTCTTTTGGCCAAGGAAGACTGAAAAAATTATTGAGACACTGAAGGTGTCTTGAAACAAGAATATTTGGGAAACTTTGATCTAACCCACAGTTCATTTTCAAATTTCACCATTGGTCCCAAAATATCCTTTATAACTATATTCCCTGCCCTCTGGTCTGGAGTCTAATTCAGTATCATTTAGTTGTCATATACGTTTAGTATTTTATCTGGTATGGTCCCTCAGCTTTTCTTTATCGTCCAAAATGACAGGTATTTTTATAATATTCCTCATTTGGTGTTTGGTGTATTCTTGTGATTAAATTCAGTTATGTTTGGCTGGAATATCACAGAAAAGACATAATGTCCTTTTAAGGACATCAATATCTGAAGGTTGGTGATTCAATTTGTTCCGCTTACTAATGATGTTAATTTTATTTAGTTGGTTAAGGTATAAGGCAGTGTTCACTAAAGTGAGTTTTTCCCTTTCTAATAATTATTTTGTGAGGGAATATTTTGAAGTTATGTAGATACCCTTTCTTCATTGAACTTTCACCTACAAATTTTTATACTCTAATGATGATTCACAACTGAAGATATTATTGCCATGACAGATGCAAAATTATGATTTTCTAACTTCATTATTCCTCCTACAGTTATTACTTGATATTTTACCTTGAAGGAGAGCTTTCCTTTCTCCTTCATTAATTTATTAATATATATCAGTTTGGACTCATGTACTTATATTACTTCATGAATATTGCTTTATTACTATTACTTCTTTGATACACAAGCTGACTCATTATGTCTTTTTAATGTGTCCCCACCATTTTTTATCATTTTCTTGCTTTCTGGCAGAACTACATGCCCTAGTTCCTAAGTCCTTTTGGTGGAGAATGGTGTTTAGAAACCAGC